TGGAATTTTTAGCATGTGATATCGATAGCCCAAATTTTGCAGGCCGACCATAGATATCAGGTATGCGTCGGCAGGGAATCGAACCCCGGACCATGTGCATGGTCGACGAGAGTCCTAACCGTTGTGCCACCGACGCACCTACAAACTCACCGTCATTGGTTAAAATTTTTACGTAAAAATCTATTTAAATTAGAGTAGAGCCTGAAGAAGATTTAATTGAAAACAACAGTCTTTATTTTTGTGAATTAATTTGCAAATTATTGTTATTGATCATTACTATTATTCATTCTTTGTGTTTCGAGTTGAACAAAAGGTTTCAGTAATACGCCATCATTTATCCCTGCTCTCTACCATAACTTTCATCTAGCTGTGCATCTGCCACGAAGCTTACATTTTGTCTCTACCATCAGACTTCCCCCCCCAGCTGATGGCTTCTCATTGAGCTTCCACTCAATCGCTTCGAGTGTGATTTTACTTGGATGTCTCCTTAGTGTATGTTCGACCCACTTACATGTCCTTCTGTTATATTTGTTGAGAAATAGATGGTTGGTGTTGGTTAGTTACTTTCTGGAATTCTCTGTGTTGCTTATCCTCTCTCGCTATCTGACAAAAGTATGTATGATTATTATCATAGTTCAAGGTTAAATGACTTCTGTTAAGTAACACCTTTGACAGTTATGTTAAAGGACTACAAAATCGAGAGACGAGATGTATTCACTCTTTAATTAGGTAATCTAAAATTACTCTTTTCTGACGTATACAGCACTGTTTGCCAATCTAATAGTTTTTATTATTTGGTGGGTGGTGATTAGTACTTGAATCAAAAATGCGCATTTCGTCCTATTTGAGACTCGTCGGCCGAAATTACATGTAATTCACAGTGAGTGATGGTGTTCTAATTGAGACTGGAACACACTAGTCATCTTTTCAAATATCAAACCTCCACCAACTAGTTTACTAGTGCCAACTCTTGTGCGGTAGGCATCAGTGGTTGTCTCTTCAAGTTAATTTTATTTTGTTGCATTGATTAATTGATTGATTATACTGAACTGAAATGTTCAGTTTCTGTTGATATATCAGCTCTTTGGAGATGGGCGCTTCGATGATGTCTGAGGATTACCATGTTGCAAGGTGTCCGCAATAGGAGCTGGCACGTCAGCAATGACTGAACATTTTGGTTCAATAAAATCACTTAACAGTGAATACAAAATTTTCCTAATACTTGTGGTGTTTTGTACGTTAATAATACTTTTCAATATTCAGTATGCCTAATTACACATGTTCATTATTGGATCGCTGATGGCAACTCAGCATGAGTACAGAAGGCTCGTTTGCCACTTTCCAACTTACTCCATCTCTGGCTTAGTAGACATGATATCCATCTGACTGTAGACCAAAGGGCGTATGTGCTGCTCAGCAGTTCACTCCGTCCTCCTCCTTTATGGATGTGAGTGAGACATGGCTGTTGAAAGTGGGAGACTTGAAAATGTTGGCTAGCTGTCTTTGATCATAGGTGCCTGCGTTTTATCTCCCTTGTTACATGTTATAATACGGTGAGTAATATTGAGGTGAGGCATCGGTTGAATGCTGGGTAGGTGGGAGAGGAAACTTATCAACGAGGTTGTGAAGTTATATCGATTGAGGTGGTGAGGTCATGTGTTATGCATGCATCCGTAGCCGTCGTTCGCCTACCTTGACAACCGGTAGTACTGGCTGACATCTGGTCGATCAGGCTGGAAAGGATCTAGTGGTGGTCGAAGCAAAACATCGCATAGGTCAATGAAATCCATAACAGTTAGTTTTACCTAGCCGCGTAGGGAGGCGTAAACTTCCTAATTGGTTGGTATCCTCAGGATTCTGAGAACCAGTGAGTGACTGAAAATCGCTGTCAATGGCTGGCACAGATGCATTCACTCTTTGTGATTTATAATATCTAGCAAAACTCTATGGTTTTTCCATATTTCAATTGTTTTTTTCTAACTCATACTTCTGTTTATTATCTCTGTTTTGATGAATGTCTCTTAACTCTCTTCTCTTGCCTTGTGCGGTACATGGAATATGGCGAGTCGGAGTAGTGCACATCTGTGTAAAGCTCTGATTTGAAATCCGCCAGTCAGTCAGTCATCATCAGATTCTTTAACACTGTCTTCCAAAAAGCAAAGAATGTTTTTTCGTTGGCGTATTTTAGCACACCACGTAGACACTCATCATTGGAATTGATGTTAACAAAGCATTTAGAATTATCTATAGTATTCCTGTTAATCCATGAGCCCCTTTGAGGGTTCGTCTTTTACATACAAAAAAGTCATTGATGTCCATCTAATGATTTCTAACCTGTATATTCAATAGAAGTTCATACAGGCACTTTATTTACTTCGGAAATTGTCGTATGAATATAAAAACTAACCGTTACCCTTTCCTTCTGTCCTATTTATTCCTTAGTATTCCTCAATGCATAAATTATACTCAGGTTCTAAATTTATCGGAGACGTCGATTAATTCAAATGAAGGTTTAGTCATGAGCTAACTTGAATTAGGGATCCACTGGAAAGCAAGAAGTGCTCGAAAGAGTGCAGCGAATGGTGCTGATTAGCGATAGAATTCAGAATTTTGTAGCCTACTGAATTCCAACCCAGTGACCGATGATTGGTCATCGGGTTGGTTTCGTAGATCCTGGCCCCAACCCCAATTGGTGTCCATTGCTGACTAATCTCAAACCAGAACGCGAACATTTCCAACTTTGATGTCTGTTCTTGATGAATTCTACACGAAATCAACATAAATCATGCTTTCTGTAACCACCTATTTTAATTTTCATAATTATTTTTAACCTTCAGTTGTTGAACTTATTTTCTTGCCTAATCACATCACACTGAGATTGACTCATTATTGTCAACAAACTTATCGTCAGTTAATTGGTCAACAAGAACTACTTCTTTGATTCTTTTGCATTCCCCAGTGAAACAATATGGCTCCAAGGCTTGATCTGTAAAGATACTGTAACAGTGGTGCTGTTTTACCGGGCTGATAAGCTAGGCGGTATTTCAGCAATGAGTTGAACAGAAATAAATCAAACCAGGACCTGTGTTGCGTGATTGGAGGACGCATTATTTGATATAAATGTTTTCTAACGACATCATCACTCAGTAATATGGACTATCTTCCTAGTTAGCCTACTTTCTTGATAATTATTTATGGTTTTAAGACGACTGAGTATTAGAACTGATTAACTTGATTATACAGGGAAAACTGTGGTGAACTTTCACCTAGAACTCTACTAATTAAAAGACGAATTCGATTCTACGGTGATGTTTTTTAACAACTTTTGAAAGACAGTGCAAACTTCTATGTAACGTTTGACTCAAAAAAGAGTCCTCTTAGTTTTTGTGACAAATCTGTACCAACCCTTTAACAGATGGACCCGAAGTAAATTGTTTGGTAGTGGCTCTCATTAGGAAGGAGGACGAGGCCCCTGTCCAATATGAAACTTGTCGGCTGAACAGAATCATACCCATCGTACAATGGATGGTCCTCATGGCCCGGTAGTCTGGTGGATAGCATTCTGGATTTCAAAGACAATCAATACTGAGTTTGGGTCTTTCAATGACACTGCCATCGGTCACTTGGGTGGAAGTAAATCCAGGTGACGAGTCCGGAACTGGACAAAACGTGCCACACGAATTCTTCCGTGTTGTGCTACTTCTCGGCTTCCTTCATATTGTGTTTCTTTGTGTTCCCTTCACGTCTCCCATGTATCTCTGCAAAGCTGTCTGATTTGTTTTCTTTGACATCAAATCTATCACCTTGCTATATGATATTTTTATGCTGATGAATGTCTCTTTATATACTACTGATAAATCTTATCAGTAACACATGCCACAATATCAAGCAAGTAACTTCGACTTTCTGTCTTTTTCGAATCATTTAACTGATAGCTTGACTGAAACAAACAAACGTTTCTTGTGTCTCTTTTGCTTCTCTATTTCTGTTTTATCTATCAAGTCATCGTTGTTCAATGGCTGGTAAAGATTTAAATCGTCGTTGGATCAATCCATCACCGTTGATTCATCCAACTATTTATCATAGTAAAATGTTATTGAGGCTACTCACAATCTGCGAACGTGCACCATATGTAAGTAAAAAAATGATTGCATTGTTGGATTTTTATATAACTTTGTTTTTATTGACCTATCATCCGTCATGAAGTACATGTATAAATGTTTTCAATGGATACGTCCTCATGTTGTATTGTCTTATTCGAACTCCATTGCAGGGAACTAGCTTTTTAAGTACCATCAGATTATTAACCGTAGATTATTATGAAGTGAACACCGACACTACAGTAAGACGCAGAGAGATTTGAACTCACCAACCATTGGTGGAAAGTTGAGTGATTTTGTAAATGTGTTACATGTTAACAAGTCCGTATGATCAGTGCTGCAGAAACTCAAGAAGAAGCTGGGAAAAGGGGATGTTGAATGAACGTAGAGAAGACAGAGGTGATGAAGTGACCTAACCAACAACAACAACAACAACAACGATAAACAAGAAACACCAATCACCATCAGCTAGAAGAATGTAAAGGGAGTCGCCTATTTCACTCAGATCGGATTGTTCGAACTACACGCGGCACGGATGAGGATGTTAAAGCCATCTAGGATCGGGAAAGTAAGACACTTTCATCAATCTGAACTCAGTAATATGAAAGTCTACTGTTCTCTGATTTTCAGCATAATTTTTGAATCAGTGATTCTACATGGTTAAAAGCTTTGGTGCATCACAGGTTACTACAGTCTTTCATCAGTAGCCACCTTCCCTCTGTACTGAAGATCAAATGGTCACCCGTAAAGGACAAGCAACAAGGAACTCTGTGAACCAGACTAACCAAGAATCTATCGTTCAAGAAATATGCCAAAAGAAACTGGAGATAGATTGGATTTATATATGCTGAGGAGATCGTTTAGTAGTGGCATTACGCACTGGCTCCTTGAGAGAAAGCCGATTAGGAAACGAAATTTTGGGCATCAGTCCAAGGGTTACATAGAATGAAGCATCTGAGGAAGAGATGAAGTCCTATGGGCAATCGTGGAAGACTGTAGAATGGCGATGTACTTATGAAACCCTATGTTTCACTCGGAAAACAAAGGAATAATAGTAATAGTGATCAGTGTTACCTACACTTGTATAACCACTCTTTATTACCAATCCCTGAATGTATTTTTATATTACTGTTCTTCTACAAAACAAAACGATTGATGGTAGGAGTATCCAGGAATTTCAGTGGTGTGTTGAGTGATTTTATAGAGTGTAGTATCCGGATTTAAATCAGCAGTCTCCAGATTACTAACCCACTAACCGACCAGCTGAGCGACAGTTTATAAGATCTTCCTTCAGTTAGTAAAAGTGTAACAACAGAAGACAAGGGCCAGGCAACAAAACGTTTATTACGGAAAATCAACACATATTTATAGATTTTGATGTACATCATTGTACGTTAATGTTAGTAGAAAATACAGTCTGTTGATTGGTTGTTTCTCACAGAAGGTTAACCTTGCATCTCTTGTGGCTGTGTCAGTTCATCTATATGTTGACTGTATCCGCCTGTCCATCTTGACCTTGTATTCACATGACTAACATTGACCTCAATTACTGTCAACCAACTTGGCTAGCAACCATCTCTCACCACAATAGTACTGACAATATCATCTGACTTAATCTTCTGAATAACTCTAGTATTCATCGCATTTCTTTATGTAATGTGTACGTATTTATCACCCGACTGTGAGCAATGTTGTTGCTAAGTTAAAACTTCCTACCGATCGCCTCCAACCATCTATTAACAATATATAGCTTTAGACTGATGTGTCAGGTTTTTAGTGGAACTCTCTAACAACTAAAAGGCTAGATAGTTGGCTGAATCTCTTAAATTGCGGAGCTGGTGTGGTGTGAGAGCTTTCTGCTAGTCAAAATTAGTAGACAGCAATTTACGTCAATGTTTACGTCCCAAAAAAAAAGACAAGAACAAAGCCTAACCTTAAGGAACTCAACAACAAGCAATCACAGCAGACTTTGTGTGGGTGGATACGATTCGCAGATATATCAACGGACTGTCTAAGAAACGGCAACAAAGATATGATGGAATAACCTTCAGCAGGCAAACAACCAATCAGAAGACGTTACCTCTCTGCTAACAATAACGAATAATAATGTACATAAAAATCAATAAATGTCTGTTGATTTTCTCAACAAACGATCTGCTGCCTGGTCGTTATCTTCTGTCGTTACACTAGTAGTATTTCAGAAGCAGTCAGTTTGAATTCTCAAGTGTTATTTTGTAGGGATTTGACTGGTTTCATGTTTGACCACGGATTGTTATCAGTTGGAGAACCATTGAAAACTAGGCAGTAACAGATTACCGTTTCGTCTTAGTTTGGGACTCTTCCTCAGTGTGCACCCATAAACCCACTGGGGATTGAACCGAGGACCTTCAAGCTACGAGGTGGTCGTGACCACTGCTGTCCACCAGGTCGCATGTGAGCGGAAATACTTGCGGATAGCCCTGGCTCTCAATAGTGTTAAAAATCATAAACCGACATAAGTTAGAACTCATGGCCTATTGAATTCCATTCCTGTGGCTGAATGGTCACTAACGGTCCTGGGTTCGATCCCTGGTGATGCCATGGGTGCATGCTGCTGAAGAGTCCCGAACTATTGCAAAACAGTTGTTGAGTACAACACAGTTTTCTCTGAATTCTTCAACCGATATGAATTTGTGATCAGACTTTAAATTCGAACTCTGTAACCAATCAAGTTTCTACTGCGTCTTCAATCACTAGTCATTGCGTAATTCTCCAACAACAACAAAATAAAAATATACCAGTGAGTTCAGATACTTTTGGAAAATAAATTCCTAGTTGAATACTGTACTATTCTTATTGATTTATCTATCCTAATGACCAGTCTCCTAATTCATTGAACCCATTCAACAGCCTTGTAATAGTCAATATACGTATTTTCTTTTGTTTTTTCTTCCGTTTGTGCGTGTATGTGTGCCATTCGCTGACAGATTTTCATTGATTTTCATGGACATTCACGAATGAAGAATATTTTTCTTTATGGATGTAGTCCAAGTGAATCATGGCGTCATCCAGATGTAAATAATCCAGCCTATCGTGGTCCAAATCAATCTGAAGATATGTCATATCGTGCATTAGCTGATATTCTCGACAAAATATCACCATCATTTTCAAAACAATCATGTCTGTAAGTTGTACGTCTTTCTCCTCTCCTCCCACCCACCATCGCCTTTTTACCTCTTTCTTGAAGCATGTTAATGATAATAATTAGAATTTTAGATGTTAGATGGTTGGAGGCAATCGGTCCCAGGAAACCTTGCCTGACCTAGGTTTCGTGCTAGTTGGCACTCAGCAGTCAGCAAGGCGTACCTACAACCTTGAAGGAACTCATGTCCCTCCTGAGATTCGAACCCATCACATCACACTAGTTACTAGTGTCCAATGAAAATAATCATGCTTAAATGTGTGTACTGCTTGACAGTTCGTTCCGTCATCCTTAATGGCTGTGAGACCTGGCTATTGAGAGCAGAAGACATGAAAAGATTAGCTGTCTTCGATCATAGGTGTCTGCGTTCTATCTCCCGCGTGAAGTGGTATAATGAGGTGAGCAATATTGAGGTTAGGCGTCGAGTGCTAGGTAAGGCGGGGAAATCAGTCGACGAGGCTGTGAAGTTACATCGACTGAGATGGTTAGGACATGTGTTACGTATGCCTAGTCATCGCCTTCCTCGATGACGGGCAATGTTAGCTGATATAGGGCCAGGCTGGAAAAGAGCTAGCCAGTGGTGGTCAAACGAAAACATGGCACCAGTCAATGAAATCCACAACAGTTAGTCTAAGCCACGTAGGAAGGTGTAGACTTCCTGACTGGTTGGGGTCCTCGGGACGGTAAAAACCAATGGTTGGAAACAATTAGTGACATGGCTCAAACTCATCGTTCTCAATGGCTGGTGCAGATGCATCCACTCCTTGTGACCTATGATTTCCAATGAAACTGTTTTGTTCTTCGTTATTACTATTCCTTTGTCTCACACCTCTGTTTACTGTCTATATTATGCATTTCTCCTACTTTCTTCGCTTGCTTTGTGTGCTACATGGAGGGAGTGTGGCGACATGAACTGCCGCACGTGTGTGCAAAGTTCTATGTCGAAAACCGACCAACCGATCAACCTTAAGTTTAATATAATGTATAATATTGTTTAGTGGCTATAAGTGAACAGCAGGAATCCTTCCACCTATCCTTCGTGCTATCTGACACTTGGCAGCAAAGTGTATCTATAATCTTGAAGAAGTTCATATCTCTCCTGAGATTCGAACAAGTGTGACTCAGGCGTGCAGTCGAAGATGTTATCACTGAGCTATTGGGGCTCACGATCAACCTCCCGTACGACCATAATGGATACTTTGGTTGGTAGGCAATGTCATGCGTCTGGTTCTTCGTTTAGTGCAGAATGAATTCTATCAAATCAAATCGCGAAGTGTACCCATTAGTTCATAAGGAATAACATAGGTTTTTTTGTTCAGCGAAGATATATTTCTTTCGAACGACTTCATTTTCAAGCTGGACAGTCGTATTTATATTATGGAAGAAGGCATTAAAGGCGCTAGAAATTGCTCAGTCAATATACATATAATAAAAGTAAAGTGATGTATTAATACAGTAGAGTTGAAGTGGATGAATTACAAAATTTTTATAGATTACTGAATAAGCGGACTGTTGTTGAGATTTTAAAACTGTAGGTCAAGTGCAGTCTAAGAAATTTAGAGTAATACTTTGATTGGACACTAGTAACTAGTGTGATGTGTCTAGTCCTTTCTTCGGAACAGACCGAATTCTATCAGTCAGGTTCGCAATGTTGGAGGCAAACAACAGGAAGCCTGGTGACGTGGGTTCGAATCCCAGAAGGGACATGAGTTCCTTCAAGGTTTCAGATACGCCTTGCTAAATGACTGGTGAGTGCCAACTAGCACGAAACCTAGGCCACACTAGGCTTCCTGCAGCCGATTGCCTCCAACCATCTAAATTTAGAGTAAGACGATGATAACAGTAAAGACGGCGATGATTAAGTGAAGTCGGGTGAATTCAAGTGGTAAAATAGAATAAAATAAAATAAAAGAACATTACTATGACCAAGGAAAAGAAAGGAGTTTAACGAAACTCTTTTAAACACATAATTAAGGTTCCTGTCCATGTATATCTAGAGCTTCGGCTATGCACAGGTGGAGAAAACGTAAGCTTTTGGAGTGGTTGGATCTGCTCCTGTAAATAACTTTGAAGGATAAATGACATGTGAGGGGCTGAATGACCTGACTCCAGAAGGTGTTCACAGATTGAAGACTTCATCGTTTTATACTCACCTTTCACTAATCAAACCGGGTAGTGTAAGCTAGGCGTTTACGGAGAACACGCTTACAACGTCCAGTGTAATCAGTTCCATATGAGCATGTGAATGACCTATGTGCACATAGAGGTGGACATATTCGGTAGCTTATTCCTAATGCATTGTCGAATAATATTTCGGCTGTTAAATACTGAATGTAAGTCAGCTAGCTACATAAAAAGAGAGTTGCATACATGTAGATAAACCACCTTTAATGACGTAAGCAACATTGTCATCTTTGAACGCTAAATGCATAAACAGTGTCTTCTTTGGCACTATGATTTGATTGGGGCGGCTTACTTCCTGATATTTCTGTCAAAAAACCTTCTAGGATATCCATTATTTAAGAGAGTTGTGCGAAAGTGTTCTAGTTCCATGTCGACCATATCAATAGAGCAAACTTTCCGTATTCTGGAGCATAGAGAGCGGATGAGATTTCTCATTCTACCTAGAAATTAAACGACAGACTCAGCGAAGAAAATTTTCTTTATCGACGAAATCATCTTCAGAGGCTGTACAGTCGTATTTATACTTACAAAAATATATAGTAGTCTATTATTGAGTAATAGGGGGTGACGTAATTGATATAATTACTCAGAAGTGGCTTTAGAAGTGAAAATTAAAAGTTGTAAATTACGTGGTACTCAACGGAACAAAGATAGAAATTTGATAAGGTTAAAATTGCCATTGAATCAGAATAAAGGTAGTATTTGAGTATCAATTTAACAAATGTGAAGAGGGTGTGAAAATATACAAAAGGAGCATATGAGAGTGATAATAGTGAATTAATTATTAAAGCAAAAGCTAACTAAAAGTGAAATTAAAATGAAAAGAAAAAATCAAAAAATTTTTTATTTACAAGGAACGATTAGTGAGAAGGTTAAGACCAAGGTAGAATACGAGACTGGACAAACTTTTTCTGTATACAGAGTTCAGGGTTGTATTGATGAATTGCCAGAGCCTCCGCCATACATAAAAGCCGAAACCTGACACCCTTTGTACCATTTGGCTTCACTTTGTAGATGATCTTGAAAGACGATTCTGGTGGAGCTACGTGGCCTGAGTTCACCAAATGCTTGAGAATTGAGCTAGTAATTGTCTTACATTGTCCCTTTGCTAACCATGCCAGATAATGCTCAGAGATGCGTTTGGAAAGTGTGCACTTTGTGTGGGCCAATATAACTAGCTCCACACGATCAGGTGAATTTATAAACACACATTGAGGTGGCCCAAAGCGGCAGTTTATCCTTTACACATCCATTGATCATTTGTCGGCTGTAGAAATTGATACGTAGCTCAGCCGTAAAGGAGGTTTTTCTCAGTGATCTGCATAAGCGATTCTTCAGGATCTCATCTGCGGTGTCACCTTTAAATTCAACGCTCATAAATATTAGTTTCTTCGGCACCATCTGGTTTTTTTCAGGCTTCTGCTTTAACTTCATGTTTTTCTCAATGAATCTTTGAGGATATCCATTCTCTATGAGGACTTGTCTGATTCAACCCAGTTTCCCATTGATTGTATCACTTGAACATATCCTCCTTATTCTTGAGGTTAAGGAATGGATCAGATTTCTCTTTCTTCTCAAAGGGACCCAGCTATGAAAATTTATATACTGACCATTCCATTTGTAAGTATAAATACGACTGTACAGCCTCTGAAGATGATTTCGTCGATAAAGAAAATTTTCTTCGCTGAATCTGTCTACCTAGGAATACCCAACTGTTGAAATAAGTGTACTGCCCTGTAAATGTTGGCTCTCGATAAATCGACCTTTTTAACGTGCCCTTCTCTCTTCTATCTAACATTGCCCCTGAGAAGTGAAAAGCGGGTGACAACCATTAAATTTTTCATGAAGCTAGGCAGTTGAACAATTGTCGTTACAAATAATGAAGGTGTCGTCAACACATCACTCTTATTCATATATAAACTTGAGATTGTTTCTTTCAATGGAGCACTCTCTAAGCTCACCATGAAGATATCCGCTAGGAGTGGTCCTAATGGAGACCCCATGGCTATTCTATCTCTTTAATTATAAATGAAATCGTTAAATCTAAACTGCAAATTAAGCGTGCGTCTCAGTAAAAGCGAATTCAGATAGTTAGTTGGTACTCCAATGTTTATGCATTTTAGGTCGATGTAATCGCATAGATAACAAATAGTTTCTACTAACGCTGCATTTATAAATAAAGACCAAACACTTAATGAGACCAACCATCTGATAACAATGCAGAGTAGTGCACAGTGATAGTGAGACATCCAGCATAATGGGTCAGTCAGCACCAAACGAAGGACCAGATGCAGGACATTAGCTACTATCTAGTGTCCCATGAAAATGTATACTATTGCTTACAGGTTATCTACAAGCGAATTTCGTCCTGTTCGGGACTCTTCAGTTGCATATATCTACATCCACAGTGAGTGTAGTACAAATTGAAACATTGTGCTTTAGGCGTTCTCCTCATTTATTTCACTTCACCTTTGCCCTTCTTATTTCTTCATTTACAGATATGTGGTTAGTAAAGCTAAAGAGACTACAGCTCGAATAGCTGTTTGGCGTGAATTCAATGTTCTACGTTCCTATACAATTGAAGCATCCTACTGTGGTATTTATCGTAAATGGCAAAAAAATAAACTCTCTGAAAGTGTTGAACAACATCGCCACCAGCAGCAGCAGCAGCAACAACAACAACAGCAACACCGGAAAGATGTCAAGGAAAAAGAAGAAGACAACCACCATCTCGACGAGAAGGCTAATGATGAATCAGTGCTTATTCAACATCAAATGAGACCTATTGATTTAATGGATTTTGGTTCACAACTGCTTGAAGCATTTTTGCTATTACCTCAACTTGAGAAGGCTGTTATATCAGTAGATAGTAGTAGTGATCTAGCAAAAATGAGGTGTAAACATCATAGTACTTCAGGATTGACGACACCGTTATCTGCATCCTCCACGTCTTCATCCTCGTCATCATCTTCTACATCCTCTTCATCCTCGTCCTCTTCGTCGTCATCCTCGTCCTCCTCCTCCTCCTCCTCGACTTCATTGTCATTAGCATCTACACCGGAACCAGTGATGCCGACACGTCCAACTCACTTTGACGAAGATATCAGTAATGATGAAGGTAAAAAGACTGAAATAAGAAATCAAATGAAAAATATTGATAATATCAAGATGGCAGAATAAACTAGAAGATGTAGGGAATATAAAAATGTGAACTCTTCACAAATATGAGTCTTTTCAACAACAACAAGAAGAGCAACAAGAAACAGACTTGCAATCCGATTCTTCATGTTCTGTTATTAGTTACCATAGCAACCATTTAGGTAATTAAAACATAATAAGCATATCATTGATTAGGATGATAATGGTAATGCTCATAGAGATTGGCAACGATTAGTTTTCCTTCATTTGAGTTTGTACATCACATACCTAACGTAGAGACTTGTTATCTCAGCTAAACCTATGACATCCATCATCTTACTTAGAAGATAAACACTTTATTTATACCACTTTTTAAAAAACCCGCTTATTTTGAATAGCGTATCTTAACTTTTTAAAACAAGATTTCGTGTATCCTTCTCTGTGTTCAATGTTGTTGCATTGATGCTAATTTAAATTATAACTATTATTTCCTTGTTTTAAACGTATCACACTATATAACTCCAGTTTCATTTTTATTATTCGATAATATTCGAGAGAAAAAAATATGGAGGAATTTGTTTTTGTTTAAATTATATCTTTTCGTGTTTCATTTCTTTGAAATGATTTAATTTGTAAAATGTGATATCATCATAAATGGCGGATGTTTTTGAAGCCATTTAACTATCAGAGATGTACAGACATGCTGATGTATAGATAGATGGACAGACACATTTGCATTATTGGAAATGTGTATTTTTGCACAAACACATGCACACACACAGACACCTACCTACGGCACATCTTCATGACCTATCTGCTTCCTTCATCTCATTTCAGAGATATAGAGCTATGAGTCAAATTTCTTTTTATTTTGTAAAACATTCGTTATTTATAACGATGTTTCCGATGTGAAATATAGTGTATACATTGGACAATTACCTTCCTTATTTTATTTATTTATTTTTTTTTGATTACGGCTTGATTCCATACCGTATTTTGGTACGAGTATGGAATTTTCAGCATGTGATATCGGTAGCCGAAATTTTGCAGGCCGACCATTGATATCAGGTGTGTGTCGGCAGGGGATCGAATCCCTGACCACGTGTATGGTCGGCGAGAGTCCTAACCGCTGTGGCACCACATAGACACGTTTACTTCAGTGAAGAGACTGTTTTCGCGGTGAATTTTATTTACTCCTTCAGTTAGTTATGCAATCGTATTTATATGTAATGTCTTTTTCATGAAAGAGGCTAGTAACGAAAGTAATGATTGATAATTGTCCATTTGGTTGGACACTAATTGGTAATTAGTGTAATGTGTTTATTCCTTTGTTTGGTGCAGACTGAATTCTATCAGTCAGTCAATTTTGCAATGTGGCCATCATGCTAGCTAGGTGGCTCACTATCACGGTGCACTTTGAATTGTTGGTGTTAGATGGTTGGAGGCAATCGGCTACAGCAAGCCTTACCCGACCAAGGTTTCGTGCTAGTTAGCACTCACCAGTCAGTCAACAAGGAGTATCTGCGACCTTGAAGGAACTCATGTTCCCTCTGAGATTCAAACCCGCGTCACCAGCCAATGCTGCAGTCAGAGACGTTGCCACCGAGCTGTTCAGGATCGCGATTGACATCAGTTTCTTCAAAAGTGCAGATACGTATTGCTGACGAGTGCCAACTAGTATGAAACCTGGGTCCAAGGCTTCCTGGTGATTGCCTCTAACCATCTAACACCAAAAATAGTTGTTAATGTTAATCAATACATATAAGATGAATAACTTAATGCGTGAGTTTCAATTAGGATGCATATAGAAATGAATGAAAATATGGAATTATGTAAGAGTTCTAAGGAAAAACAAGAGTTTAAGGAGTTAGGAAAATAAACAAGTGAACAAAATACAAGACAGTAGAAGTAAATAAGGTTGTTACCATGACAACAGAAGTGGTTGAATAATTTTCCTTTGTATGCATATCTCTGGTTTTTCTGACTGAATGACTAAGGCTTCAGCAATGCATAGGAGACAAAAGCGTATTGCCTTTTTTGCAGGTTACTTTGAGAGAGAAGGCGTTGGTTTAGTTGGAATGACCAGTGGTGGTTGACAAGGTGTTCAGTTACCACACTCCTTATAGAGCCACTACTACTACTCCTCTGCAGCCATGCGGGATAGTGTTCATGATCCCTTTTAAACAAGATACGCGTCGAACGACCAATGTATCTGGCTCCATAGGAGCAGGTGAACTGATATACACGCCTAGAAGTGGTCATATGCGAGATCATGTCCTTCATTCTTCTGCATACTAATGGACGACTGGAGGACACTAATCTTAGTGTTACTGCAAAGCACATCGCAGACCAAGTCCACCTTGAAATCCAGGTTCATGTAAAGTTTCATTCCTTTGAACCTTTGGTTTGATATTCGTGTCAATGAATCTTGGTGGATATCCATTTTTAATGAAGATTTCTTGCAGAAGATCTAGTTTCGCTTCCAGGGTTTCAGGACTGTAGATGTATCGGATCCGAGTGGCAATGGATTTAATTGGATTTCGTTTCGTTCAAAAGGCACTCAACTGTAGAAATTCGTTAGTTAACCTTTCCAAGTGGATTTTCTATGGACTGACCTTCTTTAGGCTCCCTCTGGTCGTCTTGTTAGTTCCACATCAAGAAAAGGAATTTTGGATTCACATTCCATTTCTAGAGTGAATTTTATTGCCGAGTGGTAGTTGTTAAGTACTGGTGGCGATGGATTAGGGTGGCAACTATTATCGCAAATAATGAAAATATCATCTACGTACTTTCTATACAGTTGTAAATTGTCAATGGTCGACTTTAATGGGTCGTTCTCGACGCTAGCAATGGACCCAAGAGGGATCCTATAGGCAAACCATCCTTTTGTTTCTATAAAGTGGCACTGAATGCGAATTGTACACTGAGAGTACACTTCAGAAGCGGTTCTTTCAAACATGTTGTTGGTGTCCTAATATTGAATTGGTTTTCATCTATATATTTGCACATAAAACAGACACTTTCCTTAAGTGTGACATTGTTGAGAAGTGATTCGATGTCGATAGATAGCATATTTTTGCTAGTAACATTCATATTCTGTATGCACTCAATGAATTGGAAGGTGTTACGAAGCGAGTACATGCATAGATGTTTCCTTACAGGTTCCAGAATATCAGCCAATGATAAGGGGAACTTGACATATCTAGAACTAGACGGAGTGGGCGACCAGCTTTGTGTTTCTTAGGTAAGCCATAAAGCCTTGGTATTATTGAACCTGTTGGTCGGATATCGTATAACTTATTTACTTTACTAAAACACTAAATATGGTGCATACACTTATGGATTCCCTGAAGTTTTCGATGTGCTTTTCTCATTTCTATGCGTTCCGAAGAGGATACAGGCCACCAAGTTTTTGAACCTGCTGAAGAGATGGTGTTATTTTACCAGGGCAGAATTACTAGCCTCACATCCTACCTTTCCAAGTCTACTTATCGGCTAGGAAACTAAAAGAGGTTTAGGATTAGGTTGGCCGGGAACTGAACCCGGATCTTGCACCTGACTGGCGAACATTCTAACAGTGAACCACTAACGCTTTTAGCTAGTTGATGATAAATTCAATTGTTTTCGAATTTCTTGTCAAAATTTAGTATAAAACATCCATTTGAATACGGTCAAGCGAACTAAGCATCCATATGGAGTGTGAAGATAGTCTGTCAATAAAAGCGTCGAATTAAAGAGGAAGGGAGAATCGGGAATGAAGAATTTGTGTGTAAAACACTTGATAAATTCCAATCGAATTTATTTTTTTACAATTAAAATCTGCTGTCTGAGCAACACTACTAAATGAATCATGAATGTGATCTCACTAGACGTAGAGGCTTCAGCTACCGCTTAGGGAACGTTCAGTAAACCTTCACTCTTTGACAGGTTCTCGAAGACAGAATCCCTGACACTTGAAGCAATTGATACTGTAGATTGAGAATTGCTTCCGCAATGCCTAATTTTGCAGTGTGTGCTTATCACCTCACTACACTCCGACTCATAAGACCTCATGAGTAGTTTTCAGACAAAATAACGACAAACAGTAAGTAGTTCATCACGTCATGAACGCAGATAGTCACCATTCCGATTTAATTTCACTATGGATGCTTTGTGCGTCGGTGGCATAGCGGTTAGGGCGCTCGCCGACCATGCACATTGTCCGGGGTTAGATCCCCGGCCACTGGACGCACTCCTTTACCTCACTAAGCCAGAAATAATTCTGGTAAAGAGGAAAGGTTGGGCATGAGGCTAGCAACCCAATCCTGTAAAATAAAAACTGCTGCAGAAACTTCAAGCCAATAGCTTGGAGCCCTGTGTTCCACTGGGGAACGTGAAGGAAAAAAAATGGATGCTTTGACGGAACATTTTGACCTCTCATAAATCCACTTGCAACTGTCTTTATCGCCAATGACGACAAAAGCTTGGAGAGTTTCTTCTACTCAGTGATTTTTGTCATGTGAAACAATATGTTAAGCAGTAATGAAATCCCATGTAGAATATTAGGTGAGTCAGACAAACCTATGGATGAGTTTATATAGGTGCATACATACTCTACAGAAGCTAGGACGCATATTTGCCTAGCCATCCAACACTTTCAGCAGTAATGTTGGCATCAGTAGGATTCCGTTTAAAAAGAGATGAAGATGGTCAGGCTGAAACATTAAGTCATTCCATAGATTCACCGACTACTTATCTAAGTCATATACGAAAGGGACAGATCGCTTAGCTTGTTGCTCCATAGGATGCTCAGAATTAGTGATTATAGGGATTCACAGAAATTTGTCTGTTGATGAGATGGCTTAACATCATTCAGTATAATGCAGGTGCCTGAAAATCCTTATCAGTTTTTATTTTATCACCTAACACTCATTTAAAGATTTATTTGTTCCGAATGTTTTTATCCCTTCGCCTTACCTGGGTCAAAGCTCTAGGCTTTGGAGTTTCAGCGGCAGTGATTTTGTTAATTATATCACTGGGGGATTGCTAACCCCACACTCAGC